GGGCCAGGGAGGGCATTGCAGGGTCTAGGCATGAGGCGGATTGGGGTGGGGCTTTGAGAAGGGGACTGGGGGTGGGGTGGGGGTGCAGTGTAGACACTCCCCGAGTGATCCGGGCTGAAACCGGAGTAAGCCAGACTGGGCTCAGGCCTGGACGACTCCTCTTGATGTTCAGTTATTGGCACCAGGCTGTCACTTTCTGCCCTTGGTCAGTTTCGCTCCTGGTGCGTCAATGTCTCGCGCACGCTGGCTGGGCACAGGGGTACTCCTCAGCACCAGCTGCAGGTGGAGGCCTGACGCTCAGCACAAGGGCCCAGGCCTGGCTCCGAGCCCGGGGACACTTGCAGACACTCAGTGCAGCTGGTCGCAGTTGGCAGTGTCAGCGCCGGAGTGTGGCTGCCCCCCATCTCCCCCCCTCCAACTCCCCCCCATTTGCAGAAAGTTGAGGTGCACCCGCAATTACATCCACGCCAACCTCTTCCTCTCGTTCATGCTGCGAGCTGTCTCCATCCTCACCCGGGACGCCCTCCTCCGCGTGCGCTTCTCCAAGGGCCTGCTCTACGAAGGGGACCTCTTCCAGCTCCTCGGAGACCAGGTACCGCCTGGCCGGGGAGTATGGCTCCAGCAGCTTCGCCCCCAATTCACGCCGGGACTTGGGAAGGGGGGATCCAGCCAGCTGGGCCAAGTTCCAGGTCCCCCCATCTCTCAGGGAAAGGAATTCCATGTGGGGCGCCGTGCCCAGTGCATGGGGGGTGAAAGCCAGGGGACTCCTAAGTCCAGCTCCTCGGAGACCAGGTACCGCCTGGCCGGGGAGTATGGCTCCAGCAGCTTCGCCCCCAATTCACGCCGGGACTTGGGAAGGGGGGATCCAGCCAGCTGGGCCAAGTTCCAGGTCCCCCCATCTCTCAGGGAAAGGAATTCCATGTGGGGCGCCGTGCCCAGTGCATGGGGGGTGAAAGCCAGGGGACTCCTAAGATCGGCGGCTTGGCAGGCTAGGCCAGACCCCACCTGCCTTAAATTCGCACTGAAATTCATGGCCCAGCTGCCATAGGCGGTCAGTGAAGGCAGGTGGTCAGTGAACCCACCTCCAGCTCCGCCCCTTCTGTTAGGCCACGCCCCTGGGAGGCGGGGCAGAGGCCACACATGTGCTCCCCCTTCCAACTACGGGGAGGGAGGGGAGCAGGCGCGCGCTAGCCACAGTCTCCCAGCCCCACGGGAAGGCACGCTGAGCCCCACCCAGCCTGCATATCCATGGGGTCTCCCCACCAAAGAGTCAGGATGAAAGGCAGTCTAGGGAAACTGAGGCTGGATTGTGGGCAAGGGGCCAGGCTTGGAGATCCATGGGGCCAGGGAATTCCTCCTCCCCCAGAGGAAGGGCTGGGAACTCATCCCATGGGCCAAACCATGGGGGCACAGATCGTGGGAGATGTCCCTGCCCCGAGCAGGATGGACTGGCCGGGCTGGGGAGCGGCTCCCTCCGCCCCCACCCCCCCCGGC